AACTAAAGTTCTTGGGACGCACATTCCTGCAGAACGGATATCCTGAAAGGTTCGTACTGAAGACTATGGAAGCCGTTAAACCCAAACCTACGGAATTTTCTGTTAGAAAGAAGCCCGTATATATGAGGCTTCCATTCAAAGGTGGGTTGGTTGCTGAATCAATCACCAGAAGGCTTAGAAACTCCGTTGATACGACATACTTGGCCGCTAATCTATGTTTGAGCTTCAAAGCCCCACTAAATGATTCCATTCAAAGGTGACTGGGTTGCGGAACTAACTACCAGAATCTTTAGAAACTCTGTTGAAACGACATGCTTGGCTGCTAATCTGCGTTTGGGCTTCAACTCCAGCCCCACTATCAGATTCTGCTTGAAAGACAAATTGCCACGTTCTACCACCAGCTTTTGTGTGTACTCATTTGTATGCTCGTGCCAAGCATCACACGTTGGTGGTACGACAGGGCATTAGTCGGACAGTATGCGAGAACACAATCCCGTATCTCTGAGTGGTAGTGGGAAGAAACCAGGCACAAGCGCGATTGCATCACGTTTGGCCGAAACCTGTCATGTCATAGACAAGGAGCAAGCCTTCACCATCATATACCGGGTACCTCTGAACGGATCACGACTGGTACGATCCAAACTACTATCGATCGCAGAGGTGATTGGAATCCGACTGCTGGATCCGCAAATTTGCATCCAAAAGAGACTTGTGCGACCTCTGAACTTGAACTGGTCTACGAAGCATCCGCTCCCATAACCCTGTCAGACACTGACGTCACTTACCTGATTCCGCGACTCATTGACCTATCCCTCACTCAACCCCCTTCCTTTGATTTCAATTCCTCTAAAGTGTATGTAGCCCCGATCTTGACCTTTTCCACGTGATTTCTGGTACCATATAAATTTGTGATGTATTAGCCACAATCACAGAAAACAAGCTTTGTTCGCTACCTTCTTCGTTCCCATGAAACCAAATTAATATGCAAATTTCAAAGAAAGTGATGAATGTGTATTCAGTAGGTGACGGATAGCGGTCGCATTTTTTTATCGATCTTCTATTCCACCGACGTTTTGATAATCTTCTATGAACAGGCTTTCCTCCAAGTGAGAGACAGGCAGCATCCGTTTAGTGTACAGTAACAGATAAAAGTACGCACACTAAGATATATATATATATATATATTCAGTGTATGTTCAGTATGATGCTGACCGTCGATAAGCGATACTACGTTTCTGAAAAGTTTTAGAAACAGTCAGTCTAGTTTTGGTTGACTTCCCGGTTGGAAAAAAGACAGCGGCTCTTTGTTGTCGGAGATCCTGGTGGGAATACACATAGCCTAATTTATTCGCTCCTTATTACCGATGCGAAATTTCAAGGCACCTTATCTTGTAGTTCCATCTTTCTGCTGTTTTCATTTTTGGCGGCCATCAATGTCACATTCAGCGAACGATGACATGGGGGAGAGCGACCCTGAGATATGACAAGACTGACGTCAGTACAATAGATGTGCGTTCCTCATGCCACAACCAGTGGTGTTAACGGTAGACTCGAATGAATTTTACCTGAATATCTTGTTGCTAATGTCTCCAACTGGATGTGCTGCACGCAAGCCGCCTCAGGTTTCATTTTGAACGATGTGCTTGATATTGCATTGTATTTTCTAGGACGAGGAGGACTCACAAGGTTACTGAGAACTCTTGGACAGCCCACGATCGATTTCGTTCTTCTACTTTGGCCTTATCAGGTACGTGCAGTCC